GCATGCGTGCATGCATCCATGCATGCCTGCATGCATGCTCGCATATTGAGGCATAGAACACAACAGGAATGTGTTTGTAAAATGCTTACGTTGTGCTTATAGTCTGTATACAGTAGCTAAAAGAATGTACACACTATGTATACCCATGATCTTGGTCTGACTTGGGGGTCGGACTACATTCCAAGGATCCTCTAAGACCATGTGTCTCATGTAAGGCCTGTAGCAGACTCACGCGAATTCCGGGCGACACATGGGAAGAGGAAGTGGCTACTTTGTACCTCGCAGCTTTGACCTTGCACTTGCTGTACACAGAGACGACTATCTTGTGGTCGCGAGCAGCACTAGCAGCAGCAGAAGACGCAAGACATTTCTGACCAGCAGTCCCGGCTCACAGCATTAGAGGGGTGCGTGTTCTGTTCTACGGTTGGTTTGGTTTCCAATCATACAGGTACTCGTTGGGCCCAGGCACGCGCAAAGGTTTCTAGCTATATACACATGTGATATATTGCAGCCGGCTACTACATGCGCAGTATGCCTTGAGTTACCGTTGGGTGTCGCCTGAAATTCGTAGCGCATCTCGACGGATCAAATAAATACCCCCGACATACACACACAAACACAAGTACAACCATACACACATACATGCATGCATGCATGCATGCATGCTTGCATGCATGCAGGCATGCATACGTGCATGCGTGCATACGTACATACATAGTACCCTAACCCCCCAGGTATCTACTATATAGGGCCCTAGGGGCTCTAGTACCCTCTTTAGTAGGTACCCGGCGGGTTAGGGGTAGATACCTGTATATACGTTCATGACCGTTCATGCATACATATACACGTCACTGAACCGCAGAGCCCTAAAGCTATGAACCCTAAAATCCTGACCTACATGTCTAATTTTCAACAAGCGCACAAGCTCAGGTGTTTGCTCCAAGGCTGGACGCTGGCCCCTAGAGCTAATCCGCACAACCACAGTTCTACTGATATTGCAAAAAACAAGAGTACTGTGGGGGCGTTCGAAGTGAGAAGAGGGCGCTGGGGCTTGGAAGGGTTATTCCAGTGCAGGTCTACAGGAACATTGACGGAATAGATTAGATACGAATACCTATAAAGCAGGCACTAATCCGGAGTGGAGACCATCAAAACGGTGCAATCCATGCGAACAACCTACAGTCTATGCGACCACGAGTACTCCACACGGACGACTGAGCAGAATCCTCCTAAGTAACTGGTGATCCCAAATGTGGCAGCGTGTCCGCATCACGACTCGACAGAAACCCAGAGCCACGTCATTCACTGACCCTAAGCCCTAAACCCAAGTTCTGAAAGTACAACGCAACAACGTGCGCCGGGTTGAAGCTTCAGAAGAAGCCCTTGCCTGAACAAAAACCCTCCCTACATTACTAAACCCTAAACCCTAGAGCCTAAACCCTACCCTAATGTAGGGACCTTCGGAAGTAGAATAGGAATTCAGGGTGAGGGTTTAAGGATTAGGGATTACTTGAGGTTTGGAATAGGGTTGAAAGTTAGATGAAGTCTATAACTACAAACCCTATTCTATACCTTAACTCTTGAGTTATTATAAGGCTTATTTACTAAGGAATCCTGAGGCATGGTATTGGTGATTATTTAGGCGACTGTGTTTTAATCCTAAACCCTAAACTTTCCTAAACCTAAAAGCCTAAACCTTAGACCCCTCCTCCGACAGAGCCTCACGCTGCTCCAGAAACCGTTCGGCGAGGCGATCGACGAGCTGCGCCTGGTTTGGGTGGTTTCAACTTGGAGGGTCGGGGGACTTAGTAAATGGTTATTTTATAGACTAAAAAATACTATAACCCCAATCAGGGTCCCTTTAGGGTACTTATAAGTCTACTTATTACCTACTTAATTACTTAGTCTCCCGACCCTCCAAAGGCTTAACCCTCTAGGTACCTACTATAGAGGACTTCGATCTTAGAGCTTTAGGGTTTAGGGTTTAGGGGGGGTTTCACGTAGCGGCCTTGATAATTAGAATAGGGTTTTGGGGCCCAATATATTATAAATGTAATAAGGAACCCGCAAACTAGTATAGGTAATGATTTAAACTCCTAAATTCTCACCTGAAGATTGGTGCAGAAAGTCTTTGTGAGCAGTGCCTGTACGCTATTTGGAGTTTTTGGGATAGAACCGCAGGCTTTGAGGTCTGGGGCTGGGGCTATGTCATGTAGGGGCCTTAATAATTAGAATAGGGGTTTGGGGGTATATTATACTATAGTTATAATAAGGAACCAGTCCAAAATAGTGAAGGATATTATGAAAGCCTATTATGAAAGCCCCTACGGTAGGTTTTCGTTTAGGGCGGCGGTCTGTCAGGGTTCATGGTTGTAGGGCGTTGTCTTTGAAAGGGTTCAGGCTTTTAGGTACCAAGGCCGTGGCGTTTTGAGTGTGGCGTTGGGGTTGTAGATGCGTGGTTTCCGGGATTCCAGTTCGGGGTTTAGGGTTTAGGATTTAGGGTTTGCGATGTTAGCCTCAGGTGTTCGCTACTGCTGGACTTGAGGGTGTCAGCTCATAGCAATAATCATTATAACAGCATAATAACCGTAAGAATGATAACAAGCATAGTAAAACTGGAAAAAAAAAACGAAAATACTAGTAATAACAACCGGTTCAGGTCTCAGGATGCTTAGCCTACCCTCTTAATCCAAGGCTGCAGGACTTGGTGCTTTCAAGGTTCGGGGCTTGGGTTTAAGTTTGGGGCTGTCGGGGTCCAGGCTGCTAAGGAGGATGGGCTGTGTTTGTTGAGGTTGTGCTCGAGGCTCGCGTTTAACATGCCACCGCTAGCAAGACCCTCTGACCCTCAAATCCCAAAGCCTTCAACCCCCCCAACCTACAGAAAACGCGAACAATTCTAAAATCTGAAGGGTGTAGGCCTTAAGGTTCAGGGTTTAGGGTTTAGGGTGCAGAAGCAGAGAACCCAATACCCCTTAAGTAAGGAATATACCTTCAACCATAATATTACGGCACCTATAATTTAAGGCCCTTTCCCTAACTAAGGTGTATTGGGTTCTCTGGGGAAGCACCGAAAACCAAACCCTGTAAGCGGCACCTCCATGCCAAGGGCCAAAGAGCCCCGCGCACCACCGAAGGCGGCACCATAGCTGGCAGGAGCCAACCCAGCACCTCAAAGGTGCAGCGAAGGCTTATAGCTGAGAGGGTGTTATTGGGCATTCGTCGTAGCTTCTAGCTGAGAGATAGTTATTGAAGCTGAACATATAGTATTCTAGGGTGTCTTTGGAGCCTCTGTTGAAGCATTCAAGTCACAGCAGGCAGGTGCTTTTCAGATTCCAGAAGCTTGAATAGCTTTGAGGAGTGAGCTTCGAATGCCGTGCTGGTCGCCTCACCGGAGTATACATGATGTGTGGGTATGCTCTAACTGTAACTATAAGCCCACTTAAGCTCATATTCGAAATATCTGTGCTTGTTTGAATAACCCCTTGGGGCTACATTCTGGCGAACTCTAGCAGGTATTTATGAACAACACATGACGCGTACAACATCCTAAAACCTATTTGGCCGCTTCATTGCTTTAAGTCTTTCTAAGAAGACCCGTACAATGATAGCAACGACTGGGATCATGCAAACAAGAATGGTGTTATGACTATGATTATCGTCTGTCTCCGTCGTCGTGTTATTACTGTCATGTATTGCAGCCTCCCTAAACCTGAAATTAAAGGAAACTACAGGTGGGGAGTTTAAGGTATATAAGGCTTCCATAAGGTATATAGACCTTCTATAAGGCTCCTCTAACGGTAACTACCCACCTGAAAATGTCCTAGACTAAACACAAGCAGCCCCTTGAAAGAACTCAGTTCCCAGCCGATGGGCGCTTGCGTGATAGCAGCGCCATGGACCGAGGAGACCTGCGTTAAGGGCGCTCGGGCTTTAGGGCTTTAGAGTTTATATGGGTTTTTGGTTTAGGGTTTATAAGCTTTGGGTTTAGGGTTTAGGGTTTAGGGCTTTAGGGGTTTAGGGCTTCAGGGTTTAGAGGGGGTTCGGGGTTTAGGGCCACCTTCCAAGGATGTTTATAAGCGTCATAAAAACATCGAAGCTGGCCTGGGCCTATTTCAGGGATTGTATAGGCGCCATAGTACTTCGAACAAGGTTTGGAGGCATACTTCACTGGAATTCTACTATGTAGCTTCGGGTTGGAAAGCGCAGATCTAGGGATTAGAGTTGAGGGTTTAAAGCTCGGGCGGTGATTGCAGGCAGTCCGAACATGAAGACAGTTGTGCCGGTTTATCTGTTGACATTATGTGATGTAGCGGTCCACCACCTATGTTTGCCGCCCTAAACCCTAAACCCTAAACCCTAAACCCTAAACCCAACACACCAGTCTCCACTCCCACA